TTATAAGTTTCTAAATTCTTCCTGAGAAAAAATTTTACAGTTTTAAGAAATGGCAAACTGGATTAGACTCCACCCCATCAAGAAGGAGAAAAATGCTATTATACCTCAACTTCGTTTTCTTAACAGCTGGAAAACAATACAGAAAGTAATAATTTGTCATCTGCTTCAGACCTAAAGCAACCATTCCTGTGAAATTAAATGGGACAGTGCCATTTTACCTACTCATAAAAGTATCATTTGGAAAACTTTAAAGAATTCACTTACAGTGATAAACATCAGTAAGAATTTGACAGTTGTAAAAAGCTGTATGCTCAAACATGTTGTCTCTCAAACAACTTTACTGTCTTATTCAGGCAATCATTGAGATGATTAAAATGTTTTAATTTTCCCATTGTCAATTACTGTGTTTTTAAAGAAAGAAGAGGTGACAGTAAAATTCTACAAGTTCAGAATGTGTAAACTCTACCACTATGCAAAAAGGTATAAACCCAAGTATTTCCAGGTGACAAATAAAGATGAGACCAGATCTTCAGTTCAAAACAGAGAATTATGGTCAGTTTAGTACAAATGTATACATCTGTGCTTTTTCATGTTTACCTATTCCTCCAGGATTACCCACAGTCTCCAGATTGTTAAGTGTCATATGCCAGATTCATAAGGATTTTTGGAAATTGCTAAAGTGTTTGTAAACTGCAGTGATCTTATTAACAGAAATTATCTGTGTTTGTGTTTTGTGGTTGGTATTATCTATCAAATGGTACTTATTAAAGAGATTTTTCTGTTTCTTATTGGTCATCTATTAGTAAACTGCTGAGTGCCAAGGAAGTCTGTAAACCCACTCTGCAGAGGTCAGTGCAGTCACTGGGATATTGTCACCACCCTGAGGAGATATTTTTTGTTTCAGTCCATGTTAATCCCTAGTTACATGGCATCCTTCTAGATGAAGAAACCGTTCTCCACAGGAAAATTCATTACATGTAAGTTCTGGATGGTGTGTTGTTAGCAGGAGCTGAAGAAGACCATGTTCCTAATATAGGTCACAGCTGTCCAAAGTTCCTTCAATTTACATCTTCATTTCTCTTTAGCTGTGTGCTGCAGGTCCGAGAGCTGCTGGTTGTTGTTCCATGTGTCCTTGGCATACGTTAGTTCACATCCCACAAACACAGAAAAGAAAGGTTGCAAATGAAACACCACATCCCAGCTGTGTGCATATACACCTGATGATTTATCTTTGTGACTCCATCAAAACTTCCTTATTGTAAGTGTCTTATTTAGAGATATAAAGACACATCTGCAGTTACACCACAAGATTCAAGAAACACTGAATATTACTTCTCTTACACATGATGGAGCTTTAATTTTTGGTAATGAAATTTTTATTTGATTAATTTTTATCACATTCTTACTACCTTTCTGCTAAATTAGTGGTTCAGAATCTACAGTCTGGGGAGCATCATAGAAATTTTTTAATAAGCTCATGATAACAGGGGAGACAGGGACATTCACGCCTCGCAGATCAACTCAGTAAGTGACTGTTGTCCAATCTTCAGCAACTCCCTCACTGCCCACTGTTCCTTGAGTGACTCCATTGCCTTTTTTGCAGCTGGCAGCCCGACTGAAAACTGAGTTGATCTTGGCTGAGTCTCCCTGAGTAGTGGGGAAAGCTGGCAGCCTTCACCGAGAAGAGAAAAAAGTGCTAATAACAAGCAAACAGTTCCTTTTCCTTGTTTCTTGGTTCCAGCTCCACCTTAGAGGCACCTCTAACATACACCAGTCGTCAGTGATTATTGAGGGCTCAAGAGCCAGTGGTTACTGGAACACAGCATATTCCAGGGACCTTCCCTCTCCATGTTCCCCACCCCCCACCCCCACCCCAGAAAGTGAGGAAAAAAGCTCATTTGGAGCATAATCCTTCTGTTGTTGTCTACATGCAAGGTGGTTTTCCAGGCAGGACCTGTGCTTGGCCTGTACTGCCATTATTCCCTGTTTATTTAGTCAGGCACTTTGCCTTTCTTGGAATAAAATGAGTTGAATTTTTCTTTTGTAATTCCCGGACACAAGTGCACATTCCACTTTGCTGTATTATCTACGATGGCAGCCCTGTTGTCTGGCTAAAATAGGGCATCCTGGGATCTAATTTTATACTTCTCAATACCCAGATGCTCACTGTAGATTATGTCTACATATCTAAATCCATATGGTATAGCATTATGACACAACATCTCTGTTCAAAGTCCATTATAATCTCATTATCTGCAGTGATTTCATTTCACTAGTCCCTGTAAAAATGTATCCTTTGAGATACTTGTCCTTTTTTCTGTTGGCCCTTCACACAGAAGAAATCCATCACATTATTTTAAGGTCATATCATATCACATCACATAGTATCATATTTCTTTCTGTCAAACTCATTTAGGAACAATTTTCATTTAATTCCAATTTATGTAAACCATTCTTCCTGTAGTTTCTTTGCTGCTGCTTATAGGCATTCTTGAAAGCACAAACTCTCTGAAAATGCTTTTGCATTATCATCTTCATTTCAGGAAATCCACAGATTAGCTTCTCAAGTGAGATATCCAGTGAATGATGTGTACTAAGCACTCACGCAGCTGCTCTCCATCAGCCTGCATGTTGCCTTCACAAAATAACCACCAGTGCAGGATACCAGAGTGTGATCCTCCATATTGACAGTTTCTATGAATATTACCTTAGGTCTTGCTTACCTTTGACGTGATGTAATGAAATTTTGATGCATGAAAATGGTAATTGTATTTATTTCCCCAGATGTGTGAAACAAGTCCCCACCAAGTGAAGATAGTATACCATGTATTCTCGTCATACAAGGCTAACTGTGCCAGCCCCCTATTAGTTTGCACTGATGGGAGAATCAGGAAATGTGAATGGCTTAGAAAGGTTTTTTTAAGTTTTGACGGTACAGTGGAATTAGCTGTATCTAAACAAGAACTAAGAACAATGTCCTTTTAGGTTTGAGAAATCCTCATGTGGAATGAGTGATAGACTAATTTAATTTATCCTTGATCAAAGATCGATATAGAAAATAAATTAATTCCAACAGTCAATAATAACTATAATATAAACTGTGGAGTAACAAGAGAGCCTGGCTACAAGCTGACACTTCCCACTAAGACATACACTGTGTCAAATCAAAGCTGTTGGGCTGGCACAAAGTGCAGACAGCCATAGAGATTGATGCATTTCAAAGATGATGAATACTGTCATGTAAATATTCCTTCAGTGGATCTTTTTTAATACTAAAAGCAGCAAGGAAAATGTCAGATGAAAAATGCTCTCTCACAGTCATACAGCACAGAATGTAACAAATCTGGGACCAAACAACTGTTGTGACACAAAGAAACAACACATGAAAACATATCTGTACCTCTTGGGGAAGTATCTGATGAAATAGTGATAAAAGAAATGAGATGACATTAAATGAATGAGGGTTGTGAGTTAGGTACAGCAAAAAGCATGACTTCAGATATCTAAAGCTGAAAAAAGAGAAAGTAGTCTCTAGAAATCCAATATTTTAAAAATAAAACATAGATAAAGTTCACCGGATTTTTGTGCCATATCTTTAGATGTCAGAGAGAAACACAACTTTGCTGTCTAATCTAAGACTAAACTCAAAATAGGCCAGTTTTGTGTCTGGCTTTTGACTTTTATTTAAAGCTGGACTCTTGGGAATGGGTTACTGTGAAGCATCTGGATAATGTATAATCTCTGATAAAAGACAGTAGAGGAAGATCTTTTTATGCTTTCAGTACTTGAGGGTCTTCATGTAGGAGAGAAAACAAAAACATGTCATCTATTTAATTTCTCATTTATTCCAGAAAAGACTAGAATTGGCTGAAAATGTTTTGCTATTCTTTGTGGGGAAGGGGTGGAAAATGAAGTCGGGCAAATGTAGGTATTTCAAAAATTTGTCAACTTTCCATTGGAAAAAATGGAATACACCTAATTTATTACATGCTTATTTTACATTTAAATAGTTGGAATATTAATGCATATTCTCCTTAATTACCACTGTGTCTCAGGGGAGCTGAAGTTCACTTGGTTTATGACAAAATTCTTTCTATCTTCTGGACTTTCTGACTGGATTTTGTCTACGTCATCCCTGAGTGATCTGGGCTTCTTTACCACAGTAAAATTTGGATAGTTTGAGTAGGCTATAAAAGACTGAGAAAGCATAACTTCCTTAAAACATAACTTTAAGAAAACACAGTGAGGACCTTGGTGGCCACAGTGCAACACCAAACAAAATGGTTTGAATCAAAACTTCATCCCAAAGTGAAATGTTATTTATTATGCTACAGCTCAAACAAGATGTTTAGACATTTCCAAACCCCTTCCTTATTTTTCATTTGCATTAATAAAAGGTTAACATCTTGGTTTTTAGGCTAGTTTGAGATGCTGAGAACCATTTTAACGTATTATGATATTAAATACATAATATCATAATTTGTAATGGGATGAAAATCCCAGTTTTTACCAGCTGCTAATGGCCTCTGGAGAGATTCAGGCTGATGAGGTTTGTGATGTCAAACAGCTGTAGATGAAAATATGAGAAACAGTTGACAATAATTAAATAATACAAATGTAAAACTACAGATCTGAGACAAGCACATAATTGTCATGGTATTATTTCATATGATTTTATGTGATATTAAATACCATTAAATTGTCATACTATTAGCAAAGTCAAAATAAGAACATACTAATCTGCAGATTTATATTTCAGACAGTAAAGAAATAAACAACACAATACTTAGTTAGCATGAACAAACTTCTGAAGCTTTTCTTTTTTTAATGTGAAACTGATTAACTGAAAAGAAGGTAATTTATTGAGTTCACCCAGCAATTTAAGGTGAACAATTCACAGAAATAACACAATTGTAACCCCTTTTCTTCTGTATGAATTATCGCAGAGCAAGATGTGCAATTTTGAAGTGTACCTGTAATTAAACATATTTTCTGAACAATTCTAAATCTGCAGTTTATTTGCAAAAGCTTTATATACAAATTCAATATTCAAAATTCAAGCTGCTTGATTAGGTCAGTAGGCACATAATATGTTTCTGTCTCATAAACTTGATTCTTCATATCAAAAATCTGATATGAATCATTCTGAATTTGCTTTTTGCAAATACTCTTCAATATGCTCAAAAATAATCAGGTATTATTGTTAGTACCTATTCAGCAGAATAGTTACAGAAAGCAAACAATAACCAGCTCAAATTACTGAAATATCTATGTACCTTTCCAGTGAAAGGAAACCTGGTCGGTAAATGGAATTTAACAGCATAAAAGAACAAACTATATTTACTTATTCAACTTTTGAAGGAAGAATGATATTAACATATCTGCAATATATGTAAATCCCTTAAATATATGAGTAACTTATAATGCTACTCCTAAATATTTTTTCAAACAAAACTCATTGTTTATCTAAATTTTAAATATAAAATAGAAGTATATTTACTTGTGGAGGCTGGATGTATTAGATTTGTTTGAATTATTTTGATTCTTAATTTGAAAGATAAATTTTTCAGCATTTTTCAGCTAAGTCATACACTAATATGGGAAGCTGCTTACCCAAGCTCCTTTTCAGTGCTACAGAAAATACTAACAGAACAATTAAACCATTGCTTCAATGGGAGGTGCAGTGCATACAGGTAATAAATATATGGAGCTTATTCTCTTATCTCTTCATTGTCTGAGTTTTTTTCCTTTTACTGGCAGGCTTATAGAACTACAGAAGCCATGAAAACTCACTGCTAACTTAAAAGTGCAACCTCTATTACTTTAATAATTTTGTACTGTGTATCAAAGCATTGATTACATTAGATAATGAAATGGATATGGGGCAGAAAACACACCTCTGACAGACTTTCTACACAAAAGGATGAACACGTAGTTCTTTGCACAAAGCATTAGAAAATACTGTGATATTTTATTATTAAAAATGCTGCTGAAAAGTTTATACATATGTGTCCAGCCATATATATCTTCTATCATTACTTAAGGCAAAAAACAAAAAATTGCAAAACAATAACAGAAGAAACCATTAAACCCTGTGTGCCTCTTAAGGTCAAGAATATAAGCCTGGGAAAGTACTTTTGTTTTTCTTTTACAGTTTGCAAACTATATTTTGATATCATTATTATAGACTTCTATGAAGACCCTATAAATCTGTTCCCTCTATAAATCATACATCAATCCAGATGTATCAAATTATTAAATCAACTTGATTGTAATTACTTTTAAAAGCTAAAATCATTCACTTACAGGAACTCTTTTTTTTAACCCAAATGTCACAAGCCTGACACAGTACTGTACATATTGCTAGCAGAAGACAATTGGAAGTACTAAACAAATACTGTAATTCACATTACAAACATACCCAACCGATTATGATGCCAAGCATCATTACCTTTTTTTATTTTTTTCTTTTTTCTTTTTTTTTTTTTTGGCTTTTTTTTTTTCTGTTTTTTTTTTTTTTTTTTTTTTTTTTTTTTTTTTTTTTACCTTTATTTTTAAGAGTTATGAACTGCTGCATCTCAGCTGAGGCATTACATAGGTGGTGGATATGGCCCGGTATAGAGTCAGATTTAATCAATGTTATGTCATGGATCAGTGAAAAAAAAAGTTTTCCATTTGCTACTAGTTGTAATTTGGGGTTGTTGCTTCATCACATTCCAACCTGAGCATCCAGGTCAGGTTTATAGCACATTTATTACAGACAAAGGATTATATCAGCCACATGTTGTATTTTTATCATGTAATTAACTTTCTTTTTATTTCTTTCCTTCAGAATCTGTTTTACTGCCTTCCACAACAAGGAGTTGTGCAGATGAATTTTATTTTAGGGGTTGCTATTCCAACATGATTAGAAAACGAAAACCATAGAAAACGAGAAGAGGTACAAGGCATCTTGTGTTTGATACTTATGGGACATATGATATTGATGCAGCTTAGTTGTGAATTAATAATAGAAGATACATCTGGGATAATCATGTTCAAGTACAGACCAATTTGTTCAAATATCTTTGGTTACTATCTCTCGGCGATGGAGGAACTTTCAAAGACAAAATACAAAGCAATCTTCATCTGCGAGAACTTATTTCTAGCTGTTTATGTTCAAATCAGTTGTTTGAATCAAACTGTTAAGTTCCTTTGTTTGATAGCTCTGCTTGGCCCCTGGCTTCCTAGTGAAGGGAGGGCAGAAGGGAATAATCAGCTAAGAATTTTGCCCTTCCTGAGAGTGATGCTCTCTGGGATTTTCGGTTTTATTCAGATGCAGAACAGCTGCTGATGTCTCTGCTTCCCTCTCCATAATGTTCACTATGAGACTACTGTGTAATAAATCTGCAAAAAAAAAAAAAGTATTTTCTGACAGTTATGCTCTCAAGCACAAAAGAGGATACTGGGCAGAGAAGTTCTTTACACACTGATAATTTCTGAACACTTTAAAAAACAGCCAGTTAACCAACCCACCATTTCCCCACTTTCAAATTGTGGTTTTGTTTAGCAAAGCTAAGAAGGTGTTTTCTCAGCTGAGATTCTGTTGCAACTGCTGGTGAATATAGAGCTAGTTTTCCTCAGAAAAGGCTGACCAAAACACAGGCTTTCTTTGCTTTTTGTCAGGGCACAAAACTCTTCCTAATGTATCACAATAACCAAGAACTACAAACTGGACTCTGAACATATATTATTGGATGTTTCTTAGTTCAGTTCAACAAGCTTAAAATAGTAATGATTTTCTTTTGTGTTTTTTTTTTTTTTTTTTCTATTTTCCAATCCGTTGCTGTGTTGCAATTTAACAAAGGCTAACACAAAATTAAATTATAGAAAACAAAAAATTCAGAAAAGAACAACAATCTCCTATGAATACTTTAACATGCACTAGTGTAACCTGTAAGAGAAAATACACAGGTCACACAGACAACTGTATCCTCTGCATGACACCATGGTCTCATATAAATGAAATATGTTAGAAAAAACTCATGTTTTTTGTTTACCACTAGTAATTAAGAAGAAATTCCTCCTTTGGTCTTGGAGGAAACAGAGGTGATATGACTAATGTATATACACATAGGTCACAACCGAATGCACAATCTTTCTAAAAGCTCTTTTCAAACCGAAAACATCAATAAAAGCTTTTTTTTGTTTGTTTGTTTTTAAACTCACATCTATGTACATTTTTACAAAGTTTCTTTAAATATAGTTCAGGCTGGCAAGTCATCTCTTTGCACAGAACTATACGTATTTTACTGCATAGTCAGTCCTCCTCTTTTTTTTCATTTTTGTTTTTAATAATAAAATTCTATTTCCCCCATCTGGATTACAGCTTCATATGCTGGGTAAAAGCCCATGGTGATGTCTTTGTTTTAACAAGGGCCATTCATGGTATGGCACATAAAGATTTTTTTTATTATTATTTTATTTATTAAAAAAAAAAAAAAAAAAAAAAAAAAAAAGAAAACAAAACACCTGTACAGTCACTGGCTCTGTGTTCCAGAAGACTCTGCTTTGCTTGTTACACTCAAAACACCATTTTAAGTGACGTCTTCTGGCCTCAACTTTCAATCAAAGTGGCTGAGATCTTAAAGCAGTATTGTAACAGCAATGTACACTTTTCACATTTCACAGGGTTTGTAGCTGATCTTTAATATCCAAGAGTTTTCTGTGGGAAGGATCAGTAAGAAAATAATGACTGTCCTCTTTTACTTGTTTTTACTTCAGATTTTGACAAGGTGTTCTGTGGTTGGTATTATAACTTTTTCCTCTTCTTTTTTTTTTTTTTTTTTTTGTTTGTTTGTTGTTTGTTTTTTGTTTTTTCTTTCTTCCAAGTGGCTTGTGAGAGTAGAGGGGGAAGGGCTGAGCTATACCCTAGTGGTTGAATGTCCATGGGGCAAATTTGTACTGTTTTGTCCTCCACTGAAGGTGTTGAAAGTATGCAAAGGCTGCATTCCTGTTAATGTATTTGGAATCATGGTTATGGTGTTGGGGGTCATTAGTGGGATGTCATCTGGGGACCTTCTCAAAGTAAGCGTGTAGTCAGGAGGACAGGTTAGTCTCAGTGTGTCATGGGCCTGAAGTGATTCACACTCATGGTCATGTTCTAGCTGTTTCATCTGCAACGACATAATCTCTTCGTTCTGTATGTGTGCAATGTCATTGGTTGTATTCCTCTGGGGGCTAGGGCGCCTGTGAGTCTCATGTCGCCGCTTGTCCTTCTTGTAATATAATGCAGCAAAAGCTAAAATATTGAGGAACAGCAAGGATGCCCCCACAGCAATGGTGACGCTCAGCTCTGTGGAGTAATCTCGCTTGTTTTCTATCAGAACTGTTGTATCCTCTGGAGCTGTTTTATGGGTGTCTTTTGAATGTTTGGGATTGTTGGCAGGTGTCATGGCTGGGCGTTTGGTGGCTGGCCATAATTTACCAGGAGAACGCCGTGTCACATAAGGAAATGATGTCATGTCAGGAGGGGGGACTTTAGTTGTTGTGGAAACATACTGAAATATTTCATTCAGGTTGTGAAGGTGTGGTACTAGCTCCAACCAGAAAGCAACCTTTGTTGCTCGGTAGTGATCACGAACTCGGGGTTTCAAACCAATATGCAGATAAAGCTGGTCTTTAGGATTGTATTTGGACCAGGCCACTTCTTCAAAGCGGTTGGGTTTTGTGTGGATGAACTTTGTGTCCTGTGGAACAGGCTGGTTTGGATCTCTAGAAAAATAAAAATAGGTAAAATTATAGTCATTTAAAAAAGCAAAAACAAAAGCAAAAAATCAAAAACCCCACCATCCTTTAGTTAATGATTTATCCTATAATTAATATAATCTGAAAACAAAAGCTAAAAAAGTTTCCCTAACTTAACAACAGATGCTAGTCTGTCTATCTGTTTATCTATCTATCTATCTATCTATCTATCTATCTATCTATCTATCTATCTATCTATCTATCTATCTATCTGTTTTTTATTTTTTGTAGTGATAGTTGGCCAAATTGTGTTAGTTCTGAACAGAAAGATTATTGCTTAGTAATTGTTTGCCCTAGTTGAAGCAAGTGGAGTAATATCCATTTCCAAGCAGTACAGCAGCAGATGTATGGTCCTACTTTGAGGGATTCTAACATGCAGTCAAGAAGGAAATAAAAGTATTATTTCCTTTGTTCTTAAAGAACAGACTGAAAGATCTGGCAAATCCAAATGAGAAGATATTGGCCCATTTCAGTATATCTACTACTACAGTACTTTGGAGTTCAACACATAAATTCTAAAGAAAATTAAAACAGCAAGATTATCAAAATACAAAGCATTTTTCTTGTCAGAAACTCAAAATCCTGCAAGAGTTACAGCACAAAATCCTTCTTGTGTTCTCCCCACTTGTTCTGATTCACAGCACAGAAAGACTCTGGGAAGGGTCCTACAGAGAATGTATAAATTAAAATCATGTAAACGAGTTGCAGTTGATGCACAGCACAGGAGACAAGCTGAGCAGTCATTTCAATGAGCCAAGCTGGACAGGAACTTTTTTTTTTAATATTTTTTTTTGATGGCCCTATAAAACTTACAACAGACAAAGATTTTAATCACTAAACATTTTTTAAATTAGTATTCCCTTCCCCTACAAACAGTCTGCAAAACAAGTAAATATCAACCTCCTTTTCCTTTCCTTCTCTTCTGTTCTCTACCTCCATCTCTCCTTTTTAATTATTAGGAATAGCCAATTATGCTGCCACCTCCTCCAAACACAACACAGAAAATTACGTTACATGAGGCTAGTCTTGTATTTCAGGATTTGTTTACATGGCAGGAAGATGTCCATTGAAACAAGGAATAGAAAAAAAAAATCAGCAAGCCCTACAGACTAGTCAATTTTTTTGCTGAGGGTATCAGAACTCTACCATTGGCATCAACTCTAGGGTTGATCAATTAATAACTGAATAACTGGTCTGAATATTCTCTCTAAATTTGGACGACAGGTATCTAAATTATTATTTTTCACAAGAAAATGGATTAACTAAGTCCACTTCTAAATAAAGGATCTAATAATGCATGGATCTTGGTTTTACAGATTAATGATAATTTACTGAAAATATTCAGTGGATATAAATAAGAGGATTTTTACTCTCCTTGTCCCTCCTCTTATGTACACTGAAGACAAATCATAAAAATCATAATGTTACAATTTATGACGTTAAGCCTTTTTCTTGGGAAGTTGGGCAGTTTATCCTATTACGAATATTTTTCCAGAACTATAGATAGGCATAAAATAAATTTTCCTATTGAATCAGCTGTTTGACACAACTTTTTATCTGTTATTTTAATTTCAAATTTCCTTTTGCTTTTTTTAGCCTCTCACATCACCTTTGTGTTTCTGGACATTGTTGAGGCTCAGGTGTGTAATTACAGAACAAAAGGCTGCTAGGAAACCGTCCTTTAAAAACCCATTGCAATCATGGTAATAAAAATATAATCAATAATTTTTTTCAGTTCCAAACTTCCACTAATGGCTCTCATAGGGACTAGATAACTTGTTTTCCAATTCTACTAGTTGTCAGAGAGGCTTTTTTTTTTTTAATTTATCCCATTGCTAAAGCAAAATTGATGATTACTGTTGTTCATTTTGCTCTCTGATTATTTATTTTCATCACCTTTAGAATTCAATTTAAATAGCTTCTCCATCAAAAAAATGAAATGCTTGAAGTTGTCTTCCATATGACAGAAGACCATATGATGGTCTGTCTCGTCTTACTGGAGGCATTTTTTTATTAATGTGCAGAATCATCTGATTTCACTCACCATTTTTTTTCCCTACTTTCAGTCTTCACTGATTTTGCTCAATTTAACATGTTGCTGTTTATTGTCATTTAATCAACACCTCTTTAGTTACTAGTGTATGTTCAAAGCACTGGGTTTTTTCTCAGCTTTGATATAAAGTAAATGTGCCTGCAATGGATACTGACTGAAGAGCAATGCACATTCCTGTTCACAAGGTGAATTAGTATCTGATTTGGCAAATAAGGGAACTGAATATTTCATATTTGGTGATATTGGCATGGGAAGAATGATGGGGAATCTTAAGAAGTTTTATCTTGAATTCCCTATAAAATGTTGAAATACCATTAATCTTTTAACTACTTTCATAACCACATTTACTGTCACTCAGGACAATGGAACTATTACCTTAATGCACTTAAAGTGTTTTATTCTTTTGTGTCATTGTCTAACTTAATTGGAGAGCAAATTGTCTTAACAGTTACATACTGAGTATGTCTCCAAGACACTGAAAGGTGCCTTGATCATTTATTTTCTTTCAGCAGTCCTCTTTCCTCCATAGGGAAAAAAAAAAAATAAAACCAACCAAACAAACAAAAACAACAAAACAAAAACAAAACAAAACAAACAAACAAAAAAAAAAAAAACAAAAACAAAAACAAAAACACCTTTGTGACATTTCTTCATGCTTCCACTGATTTTTCATGTTGTCACACTATTAATCTCAATATTGTACAGCCTTTCCTGACTGAAGCACTGGTACACAAGCATATTTTCCCTTACCTCCTTTCCTCACTTATCACCAGGTCCCACTGTTGCCATGCTCCCAGTCAGCTATTGTAACTACTAAAGAAAGCAAACTGTAAGTATGCCATTTTGTTTGACTAACACAGATTGGCCATTGGAGACAGTTATTTCTTCAGACAAAAATATCAAAAAGAAATGCAACAGTCTCATAAAGGAGTTCACTGAGAACTGATTTAAAAATACACTTTAGTCATTGCAAGTTCAATTGTGTCCTCCATTAGAAAGCCAAAGTGAAAACATCCTTAATAACTCAGGTTTTTGCTTCAGAATCAGTGATAGTAAAATAATTAAGGACTATTTATCTGAAGAACAAAGAAAATAAATATATATCCTTTAGGCTTTTATCATTCCCATCACCAGTCTAGCTAGAGCTGGATGAATGGGAGCAAGAATAGAGTATTATAACTCCTCAAAAAAAGGTAATTTTTAGAAACCCAATAGACGTTGCTAATGAGAGCATGGCTTTGTATCTACTTTATAAAACTTCAAATCCTTCTTCACAAGAGTGTAGCTGGCAGAGTATCTGTGAAGAACTGGCACACATCCTCTCATGTCATTCACTATCCCCATACTGTATCTGCAAAGTTTGTAACATGGCCCTAACTAACAGAACATTTGAGCATATAAAATTATCATTGCACTTAGGATAGTACTATTTGCAGCAGACTGAAGCTTTAAGTACACCTCTTAATGAAGCTCTCACATGCAATTTTGCACATAGTGGAATCAAAAGCTGTATTTTCATGTCATTTTTGTATCCCAAATGTAGTTTTTTACACCTACTCTGTAACAGATTGCTTTCCTATTTCTAAGGCATGTTAGAAACATAGTTTTGCAAAGGCCAAAACCACTGTTAGACAAAAAAAAAAAAAAAAAAAAAAAAAAAAAAAAAAGTCATAGCAAGTTAGAAAATGGAGGATTAGCAAAATGCAGCTTCCAGGTATTCATTTCAAGCAGGATCCACTTGCCATTAAACACTTTAATTATCACCTCTTATTTGCTAGCTTCAGTAACTAGCTTCAAAGTAAAACACAATAAAAGCATTGTGCTTTGTGCTGTGTCTTTGACACCTAGTGATTTTACAAGATTAACCTGCCCTCCAAGACCAGCCTTGGCAGTAGGCCCATTAAACAATGTGTATTTTCTAGCAGTGGGTGGCATGTCAGTTAAAAGCCCAGCACAACCCATCAGAACAATGCACTACCTGAGCCATGATTATGCAGTAAGTACCTGTATGCAGCCTCTGTGGAAGAGTCATCAAGATTAGAAAACTCTGAGAGACATTAAAATTAAATAAATAAACGTGAAGTTTTAATGTTTAAGGTTCACCTACAGGGAAATGTGGATTAATAAAATCTTTCAGTTAACAGATCTTTCACATGTGTTGCCATGGGTACAAACACAAAGCAAGCCAAATTCTATCAAAATAAGGATGGGAAAAAATCAAATTAAAAAAGGGAGGAAAAAAAAAAAAAAAAAAAAAAAAACAAAGCAAAGCCCCCAACAATGCAGTCTTGAACCATATCAATCTTTCTGAGAGTTGGAGGACCTGAGTAGGCACATGGATTCCAGATTGTATGTGGGAAGGTAGAGAGGACAGTTCCAGATATGTGTCCCTTGTTGCTCTAGGCTTGAGGTGCTGCAATCTCTTCTTTTCCATTGGAGTCATCAGATGTACAGAGTAAATGTAATCTTATAATACTGTTTTCCTCCAAGTATTCTCTTGTACTATCCAGAACAATTAATCATTGTTCATATAAACAAAGAAAAAAAAACAGCAAGGTAATGTGTCTCATGTTCCTCTTTTCCTTTCCTTGTGAAAAATGAAATTTTACAGCTAGAGATCATTTCTAATGACACATCTTTCAGACTGTCTATAAAGCAGCAAGTTTGTAATAGAAGATATACCCCATTCCTGTCTCATCAGCAATTGTGAAGTTTCAGCAATGACTAATAGGTCTCCCAAAGCACCTGTTGTGCCTTTAGGTGTCGTATGACAACGGGTCCATAACCCGATAACTGGGTGATGGCATGTACAGCCTGCTGAAATTAGCTTTCAAGTAGCAACAGCTGGAAAGTGCTTGCAATTATGGTGACAGCTGGGACTGTGAGATGCTCCTGACAGCCTCAAAAAACTGCTTAAGTACAACTTCTTATTCCACAGGGAATAGTCATAAAGTAATCATAAATAATAGTGAGACTGTGGAGATCTTGCATCTCCATAATAATTTCAATGATGTATACTTGTAAGGATCTGATGTCCTCTATGTATATGTGGCACTTCATCTACAAAAATGAAGACAGACTGATGGTATAATCATCTTTCTGAGTGTGTGGTAGAGCCAGCATGCAGCATTCTCTCTCCATAAGCCAAGCTTTCATCCTGAAGTTTGCCCATCCCAGTACTGGTAACTTCTTGTTGCCAAATACATCTAAATATTCCACAGTTTGTTCACTTTTGTTGCAATACTGTGGGTTTTCTGCATGCAAAAGTACCTGTTTGTCTAAAAGGCAGTGCAACAAAAGCTTTCTTTTTGCCTTGGAAATTGACCTGAAGCATTTGATTGCTTTTTTACTCAATTCATGCATGAGGTTTTTGTTACGACTGCAAAGCCTCTCTCCCTTGAATGTCATTTGGATTCATTAAAGGCTGCAAGAGCTGCTGAAGCCTCTGAGTGTTTCTCACTAGGCATCTCTGAATTTTTCTTATATAGCAGCTGCATACCGTTCACTGCAGTGCAGTAAAGCTGCAGTTTCCAGAGCACAATCCTGCCATTAAACATTCATTGGAAAGATTTACAGCTCCTTTGTGCCCCAAGTATCTTTGTTTTAATTCAGTACCAAAGACTCAAGGTTAACAAAAAAGCCCTTGCCGCTCAAGTAAAACACTGCAGTACTCTTTAAATGAATGCTTATTGGAACAGGACAGAAATTATTAATAGCACTCACAGATTAAGCCACTTTGAGGGTTCTTTCCTTGATGTTTACAACTCTATTTCAGCAAAACATTGATGTCTTTATTTTGTTTCGTAAGCAGAACTAATTTAAATTTTTAACCTTCTCAAAGCAAAATTTATATCTGAGCATCTTATTCATTCTAGTCAAGTACTTATTATTGCCATTATAGCCCTCAGAGGGAAAAATCTTTCCACTGTCTGCCTTTCTTTTCCAGTTCCTCCCTGAGTCCCCAACCCTGTGAAGGTCACTATAAACAGGAACTTCCTTTCTTTTGTAGCAGATAAGTGCTATCTGCCTGGCAGTTCCTTCTTCAAATAGCAGACATGTTGCCTCTGATTTTTCAGTATCTTAGTGAGCTGCTTTTTCTCTGAGACATGCTTTATCTTAATCATTGCCCTAGTTTTTTAATCAAAAATACAGTGCATTATTATTCTCACTGAGCTACTGAAAGAAAATAGTTTGAGGGAACACACTAATTAAAAATCTATTAAATATGAATAAGCCCCAGTTACCTTCTGTCTTATGCAAATAATGCTATAATACTACTGCAAGATCAGGGTTTGAAGCCACTGCAATGGGACACTGATTATTTTAGAAGTATGCTATCAACAAAAAGGAATGTTGGGTGTCAAACTTACCCAGTTTTGGCGAAGTTAGTCCAGTACGTCATAACTACTGCACTGAGCATGACATCATTCTTGGAAAAGTTGCAGTTGAACAGTTCTGTGGGGCCAATCATAGGAATCCCAAACACATAAGGGACTTCATCACCATGAGCTGAATCAGCCCAGCTGGGTTTCATTTCACTTTGGCAATGGTGATAAAATGCATAGAAATATGTTGGAGATCCATACTGGGCATGCAGGTCAGCAGTAGCAACAGCTGGAGCAACCCACTGGTGGTCTGTAAAAAGGGCGACCAGGGTCTTCCGTCTTGTTTCGGGGTTTTCTTTGTCTGCCCAGTCAGTGTACATGAATTTAATGGTCTCTCGCAGTGTATCTTTCCCTTCTGGATAGCCGTATAGATTGTCCACAAAGTTGGAGACGGAAAAGTCAAAATCATTGGGGGAAACACCATCTTCATTGTCTACAATGCCATCCACAAATTTTAAACCTTCCCCTTGATTCACGCCCAGCATTATATCATAGTTAAGGAATTCCCCTTGCTCCATGAGAATCTGAGGGTCATCTGGAATCACATCCCCATCTATCACAGGCCCAAAGGCAATGTGATACGTGGCTGGAGTGATGGTCTGTTGAATGAGTTCTTTGTAATTCTTATTTCGAAGACATTCAACCAAATCAGTGGTATCCAGCATGTCGCAGCCCACTTTATCTGCCAATATCCGAGTGTACTTGGCAGGCTGATAGTTCACTGCCCAGCTGGACAGGGCTGTTCCACTCTGTATGATTGCCTTTTGGAACAAACCTGCAGGTGCAAATTGTTTAAATGCAAATCCAATTATATATTTTTAAAAATAAAAATAAAAAAAAATAAAAGCAGCTTTCACTAAGCAAAGAAAGCTTTGATTATACAATAACTAAAGGATGCATATAACTAAATTGAAATTCAATTGCCATATATTCTACTCACTGCTTCCTTTTTATAGTATCTCTAATATGCTACTAATTAAAATATTTCTTGTTCTTGATGCTCACACACATAAAGCATGAAGGTTTCAGGTTACTGTTTCAAGAACAAAACTCATGTTTGTACTGCCATTTTCTTGCACCTTTAATGGAAGTCCCTGGCTTTAGCACAGTGGTAGTCCTGTAAAAATTTTTTTAAAGGAGTGGCAGCTACAAGTATCTTCTTCATCATGTAAATGTCTCTCATAAAGGCACTCTTCAGTAGTTTAAAGGTCAAATGAAAATTACACACTCTAATTTCCTTCTCAGATGCCATGCATCATATAATTTGAAAAAATCTGCTCTGCTAAAATCAATTTAATAGTTTTGAGTCTTCTACTCTGACATAATTTTTTCCTTATCATCTTAAGTTTTAAAAATTATTTTTATTTTTATCTGCGTGTGTGTGTGCTAGCACTACCTGTACATTGAAATAAAATATATTTACATTTTTTGGAAGAGAGTAAGACGAGAGTAAATAGTTCTTTCTGGTTGTTTTATAGGTACTAATATTGAGATGAAAGATCCAGTCTTAAGAGCTTTTTTGTGTCAGAGCAGTGAAAAGAAATTGGACCTTACTGGTGAAACTATCCCATCTGGTTTTTTTCCTGGTAAGATCACTAAAATGGCTTATTTTATACTTAAACTAAAATACCTGGGACTATTCTGCACATGGTTTCTACTGTCAATCTCTTGAAATGTCAAAGACAGCAACAGCTACAAAAAACATTTACAGACCTTGAAGCTTTTCTGGGAAAAACTGGCTGTGGTGGATATACCTTCGTGATGATTAGTTACTGCACACAATACAAAATTTCAGTGATGTGATTAGTTAAGTTTTTCATGGTTCTATCTTCTTGATTTTAGTGTGGCTTACTCAACAGTTATTCACTGCACCCTATTTGTATCAATAGACTGAATTGTCAGGCACAATTCTATATATTTCCAAATAAGGTTTGTGTACCAGCCACCCTGCTACAACTACTTGCTAGGGCTCAGACTTCTGTCATAGATTTCTGTTTTATTGTGATAGAAGTAGCATGGATTTATAAATATAATAGATATTTTGGTCTTGTCTTCTTTTATAAATTCTTTGTAGATTTGGTCTTATCACCAGGAATATTTATGGTTCAGTCAGTACTGGTGCTGTATGTTCTTGGGGTCATTTTTTGGGGAGTGTGAGGTGTTGAGGGCAGAAATCCCACAGCTCAAACACTCACCTAAATCTTAAGCACTCTGTGCAGGATCACACAGTACTTGCGGAGAGTTAAATACATATTTAATAAAGATAAGTTATGTTATTATTAAGCAAGGAAAGAATCTAAATACATGTTGGAAGTGCAGACAAAAATATGTAAAAATTTTTAAAAGTCACTGCCCTTTTCCATTTTAATTAGGGCAAATTCTTTGACAGAAGAGCCAGTGGAGACTGTTGATAAATGTAGAAAAAGTATATTGCCCATGGGATTTGTTACATAAAATTTCTGCTATAATAGTATTTAATTTTTCATATAAAAATATTTACGTTGACCAATACAAATCCAGAATCATAACTAGTAGGTATTTTACAAAAATTACAGACCTCATGTAATTCTAATTCAATCTATCTGATATGGCTATTTTCATTACACTATACTGTTTAAAAAAATAATAAAAAAAAAAAGTGCCTTGCTCAGAAGACTGTTACCTTCTGAATAGTGAGAGAGTGTCAGGAGACTGACACAGGAAGCTCCTGCCCCAGATCCAAAAATAGTAACTCTTTTTGGGTCTCCTCCGAAAGATCCAATATTTTCTTCAATCCAACGTAAAGCTTGGATTTGGTCAAGCAATCCATAATTGCCTTTTGCAGCCTGGTCTCCAGTACTTAAAAAACCTATAGGGCAAAAAAAAATCATTTTAGTTCACCAGATACAGAGTTAGCTAGAGGGTATCCACATATTCACAACACATCTTCCCATCTTTTCATCTTCTGGGTTTCTTTTTTTTTTTCCTTCATTTTTTTAAAGGTCATGGTCCTAGTTAAATGTCTCCCATGAAGGCAGTGGAACTCATTTAGTATGCTGTTTGGCTTTGGTTTGTTTTTCCCTACTGCAGAAGTCACATTTGTGAAAAAGCATTATTTCCTTTTTGAAATAATTCTGTATCAATGCAACGATACAGACTGAAGGTTTTAAACATTTGGTAACTGCATGTGAGTAAGGTATAAAAACTTAGGAAATCATATTTGTGCAAAGAATAAGTGAGATACTCAGTCTACCACTGAGAACAAGGCTCCCTAACACATTAATTTAAATGCATGTTACCATGGACAAAAGTTTTCCTGAACTTCATAGCTCTTTAAAGTATTGGACTTGTGATATAGACAGACATACTCAGAAACTGAAAAAGAGGGATGAAGAAAATAGTAAAAGAAACAGAAAAAATCTCGGAAAAAAATACACTCCAATTTCACAGAGGATATTTATTAGGAAGATAGCAGGTAAATCCTCGGCAATTCAGCCTTTGGTAGGCAGATTTTATCTGAACAAATCAGGTTTTGTCTTTCCTTGGAAAGCTGCACTACTATTTTTTGTTCCTGTACTGTGGTTATCAGATTTTAGAAACAAAGCATGACACGTTTGCTTCTTGTCTTGCAACTGAGAACAAAATGACTGGAAGACTAGGAATGAGATTAATTTTGTTTTTCTGAAATCAGCTAAGGTGAAACATTGCAATTATCTGTGCTGCCTCTCATTCACAGTTAAGACCTTGTGCTACGTCCAAATTACTGCATCGAGCCATGTACTCACAATCTTTTTTTTTTAACTCCCACAGACCTTTTCCTGTCAGACAACTGGAAGTCAGAAGTCTATTAGAAATATCTTCAGCATATGGAAGTTTTCAGATGGACATTACTGATTTAGGCACCACTGACAACTGCTTATCAAGATAAAACAAGGCAATCGCTTGGCTGGTGTTTCCAAGCTAATTATCAGTTCAGTCTTATTTGCCAGGAGAATTTTGCCTCAGGACTGAGGAGAGCCTCAGTCCTGAAGCAGTTTGAGATGAGAGAGCCTGTCACCTTGAGCCACCTTATCCTGTTGTGACAAGACCTTCTTGCTCCTAGGAATGACTGCAAGGGAAGCCTGAGGTCCCTAGGCAAAAAAAGGCCTTGCAGTACTTTTCATCTGCTTTGGCAAAGGGGAACAGATCTCTTTGTACTGTCTGTAGTTGTTTTTTCAGTGATAAAAAGAATGAAAATTCACAAGGTGGAAGGGATTCACAATACGGAGGAAGTGGAAGAGAAGGAAAGGCAAGAGAAAAGTGAAAATGATATATGTTGGACATTCATACCTGTCAGAATTTCACCATGATGTTTTCTATGGTAAAATTCCTACAATGAGATGCAAAATCCACCCTCAAGTTTTACAAGCAGTCACATAATATGGAATGCTATGTGGCTGTCCTGGTTTGGACTGGAATAGAGTTAATGTTCCTATTTGGTAACCAGAAGAGTGCTGTGTTTAGATTCAGCATTGGCTTTGGTATGAGAAGGATGCTGATAGCACATTGATGTTTTCAGCTGCTGCTGAGACTTCAAGGACTCTCCGACTCCCCATATCCTGCCCATGTGCAGGTGCACAAGAAGCTGGGAGGGAGCATGGACAGAGCACCAGACCCAAACTGGCCAATGAAATATTCCATATCATGGAACGTCATGCTCACTGTATAGAGGAGGGGCGGTCAGGAAGGGGTTCTCTCTCTCTCTCTCTCTCTCTCTCTCTCTCTCTCTCTCTCGCTTCTGGGATTGTGATTGCGGGATCTTAGTATTTTGGGATCACTAGCTGGGAAGGGGCTGGGTATTGGTCAGTGGATGGTGAGCAATTGCATTGTGCATTGCCCATTTATATTTTCTATTACTGTCATTGTTTTTGTTTTATTACCATTATTAAACTGTTCCTATCTCAGCCTGAGAGTCTCCCTTTACCCCTACAATTCCCTCCCCCATTCCCAGGCTTCTGGGGGAGGGTGGGTGAGCGGCTGCAGGGTGGTTGGCTGCCAACCAGGCACAAACCATAACAATGGCCTACATTATGGTGGCATCAATTTCTGCATGCAAAGTTAGGCATCATTGAATGAAATGTATCACCTTGCACCCAAAAGAATCTTTTTCATATTTAATTAGTGATTAGATTAGGTATTTAATGTCAGCAAGTGTCTGATGAGTCCTTGTATTTTTCACAAAACAGTTGCTTCAATTGCAGTAATAAGAATTATAACCTTATTGCTAAATAGCATTTCATGTCGCTTTCTCATAAAAAAGTCTCTAATAATGGCAAACACAGTAGTTAGAATAGCAATAACATCTTTTTGCTCTTCTGTACCAATGGGGAAAAGCCAAACAAACTATTAATCCATAATTGACTCAATTTTTTTAAGACGTGTTTTTCTCTTTTTCACATGCCTTTATTATCTTTCTAGGACTGTCAAAGAAAGAATAACCCACTTGCTGGCTTTGTTGCTGCAGTTCACTACAAAATTCTATAATATTCTATAATTAAGCCTTTATTCAACCGGAACTGTGACTTCCCTGGAAGAAAGTAACTGTTGTAACCTTTAATGCAGCATGGTAATTAATATTCAGAACCTAAACATGCTTTAACTTTTCTAACAGCACCAAGCCAAAGCTGGTTAATCTTTGTGATTTTGTATTCTTTCCAAATGTATTAAAAGGTGACTAAGTAAAACTGCAGTCAATGAATATCTGATGTTAGACAAATTAAGATTTTTTGCTTCCACAGTTCTATTCTGATTCTCATTAATTGCAAGAGCAAATTTTCTTAATTTAAAAACTAATCATGGCAAAATGTCAGCCCCACATGACAAAAACTGAATAAATCTGTCTTTTCTTGATGAGGATATACTTTCTTTCATGCTCTTGAATACCAGATCAAAATATTTGTTTAAAGCCATTTCAAAAAATTCAGCCTAGGAGTAACTATTTGTCCAGAAATACACAAGACTAAGAGATTTTTGTATTTGTTTTCTGTGACCACTGTGAATGTTTCAGAACAGTATCGTCATGTGTCACTAAAATTCTGAAGAAACAGGAATGCTGTTGTTTTTTTTTTTTTTTTTTTCTGAGATGGGGATTTATACTATGTGCCTTTTACATATATGCTGTTAAGTGCAGTTAAGAATATTTCCCATTTTATGGTTTGGTGTGATTTGAAGGGCATACTGCAATCTGAAAATCCTTAGGTTAGTGTTTTGATAGAACCTGGAAGTTCTTCTCACTAGCCTAATGCAACAGAGGAAAGAATGACAATAGTTGAATATTGGAAAACACAGAGAATATTTTTTTTTTTTTTTTTTTTCCCCACAGAGTAATACAGAAAGGCATTGACAGTAATATTCAGTTCTTGACTTCACAAATCTGTCTTCCCTTAAATAATGATTTGGAAGGGTGACCGCACGACTCTTCCACTGCAAAACGTCATGGACAGCAACAGCTGAGAAAGAGAAATGTGAATGCATCCCATGTGTGTTGAGTGAAATACCCCAAATTGTCTCAGCGGACATTTGTTCCAAAATTATCATGCCAGAGGGAAAGATGACCACCAGCTGGACTGAGTAGCAACTAGGGAATTAGAGTCTTCTGAAGCAAAGTTCAGCTTGAAAAGTAGGGCAAAAGAAGCGTGACAATTTGTAAAAGTAGAAAGAGGGCTATAGGAAGAGGGCAGCAGCTGGACATGGTTTGACATTGCAGGAAGTGGCCACCAACATCACAAACTCCCCCCAGCCTGGACAGAGCACCCTCCGGTGGGGTGCCTGCACCCAGCCAGCAGCTGTCCATATTGGCTGGCACACAGGGACCATCTTGGTGTGGTGGGGGACCTCATGGGGTATTTTTTTCCCTGTGTGGGTCAGTGGGTGGTCGGCAGTGGCAGGAGCTCACCTGATGCTGGAGCAGCCATATGTCCCGCATGGAGAATAGGGGAACTCCTCCCCAAAAGGGCTGCTGGTGACCCACTCAGTGTGGGGGTGGCTCGATGCACACCTAGCTCTGTGTAGGTGATTAGAACACTTTGGAATGAGTTATAGAAGGGTGTTTAGAAATTTTCAAGTGTTTACTAACATTTCGTAAGTGTCTAGTATTGTAGTTTATCTTTTGTAAAGTATAGCTCGCTGACTGCTAGTTAGTTATATGCCATCAATAAATTAATAAACTGCTTTGATAATGATTTGATTTATACCACATGAATTGAGCAGCTTTTCCCTGTAGCAGCTTATTTTTTAAGAATACATAAAAATGCATAACTTTATAGGAGGAAATATAAAGTATTCTTAATTTGTTTTGCAGAATCACTTTAATTTTATATCTCTTTTTTTTACATTCTTTCATGTAGGAAGAAGTAATGCTTTAAATTGAGGTTTCTAAAGTAACAGTTCTATTTACTTTTCTTTGATTCTATTAAGGGAAGCATTCTGTATGAATGTTTTATTCTTAACCTACTAGATTAGCTACATGTCCTGGGTTGAGTGAGTGGTGGGGTTTTTTTGGTAGCAGGGGAGGGGACTATAGGGGCGGCCCCCTGTGAGAAGCTTCTCGAAGCTCCCACAGCTCCAAGTCAGCTCCACTTCTGTTTGGAAACTGAGCCAATCAGCTGCGCCTCTGTGATAACGTATTTAAGAAGGGACGTGGTGACGAGCAGTCGGACTTGTGAGAAGGAGTTGCTGCAGCTGCATGAACACAAAGGTCAGTGGAGGAACGGAGGAATAAAGGAGGGGGGGAGGTGTGCCAGAGCAGAGACCCCCCTGTATCCTGTGGGGAGACGGCAGGGCGGCCCCCCCCGCCACCCATGAAGACCTACGGTGGAGCAGACATTGATT